AGAAAACAGACATTCAAGAAGTTGAACAAACTCCAAATAGGACAGACTCCCCACACCCCCCAAAAAATACCACGACATATTATAATCAAACTTTTCAAAACTAAATACGAGGAAAGAATCCTGAGAGCGGCTCAGAAAAAATGAAAAGTCACCTATAGAGAAGAACTAGTAAGACTAAGTTTTGAGCTCTCAGCATAAAGCATGCAGACAAGAAGACAATGGAATGATGTATATAAAACAATAAAAGATCAAACTGACAACCAAGAATCATATAGCCAGCAAAATGGTCCATCAAATATGTCTAATGAAATTAGGTCATCTTCAGATAAACAGATATTAAAAGAATTTGTAAAAACCAGATCAACCTTACAAAAAATACTAAAGGGATTTTTTTTTTGGACCAAGAACCAACAAGAGCAGACAACAACGTGGATTAACATATACGACAATATCACTTAGAACCCAGATAAATTGTTGTTAAGTGCCATCAAGTTGATTCCGACTCAGTGAACCTGCATAGGGTTTGGTGTTGGTGGTGGTGGTGTCCCATGGAGTCAATCTGAACTCACAGCAACCCTGTATAGGGTTTCCGAGGCTGTAAGTAAAGATTTACGGGAGCAGAAAGCCTTATTTTTCTCCCGTGGAGCAGCTGGCAGGTTCAAACCCAGATATGAAAATATTTTCTAAAAAATAACCTACAAGACTGAAAAAATAAAGCACCAGAGATGCAGTTGCAACAACAAAAAACAAAGTAAAAACGGAATAATGTAGTTACAGGACTCCCAAATGAAGAGGAAATCAAGCAGAGTTCAAGAAAAAAGAAAAATAAATCTAACTGTAACCCTAAAAATTAGACCAAGCCTTACTCCTAACCCTAGCCTAATCCTTATCCCTAACACTAATCCTAGTCCTAACCACAACCCAAATACTAAACTTTTTTTTTTTTTAAGTATATAACATAGGACTGTGAACCACAAAGTTGGCGTTTCAAGCCCACGAGCCACACCATGGGAGAAAGATGAGGCCTTCTCTTCCCACAAAGATTCAGCCACTGACAACCCTACGGAGTATAAGTTCTATTCAGTAACACAAGGAGTGGCCATGAGTCAGAACGGACTCAAAGGCAACTTTAGTCTGTTTCACTCACAGTTCTAGAATATCCCATTGGTCTGAAACCAGATAAATTCTATTCTGTCCATGACTCTAGAACTTTCCTGCCCCAGTAGAACTAGACAGTTCTAGAATACTCTTAGCAAACTAGTTTCCTTTCATCTAGAATCCTAGGCAAAGTACCAAGTTCCCTAGGTGAGTCACAGATAGTCTGATTCCATACTCTTCAAAAGCAGCTCTCCTCCCCACAACCTGTGAACTTGATCTTTGACCTAGAGCCTCGTGTGTGGTGTGTGGTGTGGTGTGTGTGTGTGTGTGTGTGTGTGTGTGTGAGAAGTGCCTTCGAGGCGATTTCAACTCATAGCGAGCGTGGGAAAATTCTAGACCATTTGAAAAAGTCAGAACTGGTTCTTCCCAGGTCTGGGTGGCAAACTTTTCCACAAACAGTCAGAAAGTAAAGATTTCCGTCTGTGTAGGCCATCCAGACTGTTGAGTTCTGACTCCTCAGCTTTGCCACTATAATACAAAAGCAGCCACAAGACAACATGTGAGTGACTGACTTGGCATGATCATGTGCCAATAAAACTTTATTCAAACTGAAGTTTGAATCACATATCATTTTCACATGTCACGTAATGTTCTTCTGATTTACTCCTAAACCATTAAAAACTGCAAAAGTCATTCTTAGCCCACAACACATACAAGAGCTGGCAATGGGCGGGATTTGGCCTACATACCATAAAGTACTGACTGCCCCTAATCTAGAACGCTTAGCACCACAAAATGGCCAAGTTGCTTTTCCCTACTCCTTCTAGAATATTCCCAAGACTGCCTCTTCTCTTCTAGGCCATTTGGAATCTGCTCAAAACCAACCTTGCATCCTCTCTAGAACCTTCTCCCTGTTCACAATCTTTGTGCCAGATTTCAGAGCCTCAATTGGGCTGGTTTGGAACCCTTCAGCCCCACGGAGGCAGGGTACTCACCCTCTTGGAAGGCAGGGTACGAAGTCAGGGTCTTGGGGCTCTGGAAGGAGATAGAAGAGGGGCAGGCCTGAGTCCCCCATCTGATTCCAGGTAGTGGAGGGGAGGGGTCTGCACTACCTGGGTGCCGGCAGGTGACTCTTCGGGCCTAACCAGGGGCACTGTCTCCAGCCAGGGCTCTGGAGAGCTGCTAGAGCTCCTGTCGTCATCCTGCTCAGCAGTAGCTCCCTCTGCCCATTCTGGAAGGCTCGCATCCCTGTCTGGGTCCTCGGGGGGCTGCAGCAGACGAGGAGCAGGTTCTGGAACCTCCTGGGGGCCAGGCTGGGAAGGCGGGCACTCGTCACAGCGCAAAAGGTTAAGCACGTCGTCCTGTCCAGCCTCAGCGAACAGGAGCCCGTGGGTGTCAGCAATGTCCTGGGAGGCCAGGCCGTGGCCAGTGGCAATGTGCAGGGGGCAGGGATGTCCCTCAGAAGACAGACCTCCTAGATCATCCGGCAGAGCCTCAAATTGCTGCAGCAGGTCCTGGATTCCCGATCCATCAAAATCCATCTGATTTAGGACACTGGGGGCTCCTGGCACCGGGTCCCACTGGCAGACAGGGGCTAGGTCCTGAGTGGCAAGAGTGTCCCTGGGCTCCTCCAAGTCCATGGCCGGAGGCACCGCTGGGGCTGTGGAAACTGTCAAGGGCTCCATATTAAGCTAGCATTTCCCTGCAGCTAAAAAAGACAGATTCAAAGATGAAACTTCCAGGGTACCCACTTGGTGCCCAAGAAGCCTTGGTCGTACAACAGTTAAGTTCTTTGGGTTGCTATACAAAGGGCTGGTGGTTCAAATCCACCCAGTGGCTCTAAAGATGTGGCGCTCTGCATCAGCGAAAATGACAGCCAAGAAAACCCTACCGGACAGTCCCACTCTATCAACTAGTATTTCCAGAAGTAAAATATAGATGAAATGGCACCCAATAGCAACCACCTGGTACAAAGCTTGCACATCAATTTATTTAATCCCCACCCATCCTGCTGCCCATTTCATAGATGTGGAAACTGAGGCTGAGCAGTTGTTGAGGCAGTGATTTCAGGCTGCAAACCCCTGGCTATTCCCCTGAACTTGCCACCAGACCTCTGCACTCATGGATCCTGCTCACTCCCACCCTGCCTTGGCCTACCTCCCTTCCCCCAAGTAGCGGGACCCAAGCTCAACACACAGACCTCCTCACACACTCGAGTCAGACACAGGGTCCCAGACTCAAACCCCAGTCCCATGATCCCAAACCTAATACCCAATACCCCAGACCTTATTCCAGGACCTCAGGTTTAATACTACAGACCCAAGACGCCACTCTTAAAATCTCCAATTCCATACTCAGTATCTGCCCGACCCCAGACTCAAAAGTGAACTCAAAACTCTACAGCTAAGAGTTATGATCTCCTGTCCTCAGAGCGCTGACTCCAGACACGTGACCTCAGGAGCCGGTCCCAGACCCTTACCTGCCTACCGGGACATTCACTATTCAAACCGAGAAGTTGCCCTCGCTGTCCCGCGGCTCGTCGATTCCCGGCTAGGGCGCCGGCTGATCCGTCTGCGAAACTCTCCTGAGTCACTGGGCATGCGTACTCTCGCAGGGTCCGCTGGGAAATGTAGTTCTCTCGGAGAGCCGTAGTGGCGCTGTAGGGTAAGACTTGGACTGTTACCAGCAAGGCGGGCAGTTCAAACCCACCAGCTTCTCAGAGGGAGAAAAATAAGGCTGTCTTCTCCAGCAAAGATTTACAGCCCTATACAGAGTCACTATGAGTTAGAATCGATTTGATGTCAATCGGAGACCCAGGTCGCACGAAGACGCTAATTTCTACTCAAGCACCACAGGAGCCAGGATTGGCCTTTAAACTTGCTTTCTCAACTACTAAATGTGGTTTATAACCGCTGCTTCCTTCTCATAACGGTGGTCATTATTTCAAATGTTGCCAGATGCTGCGAAATCGAGCTGGACTATACTGATGGGAGGGAGAGAGAGAGATGGTGTCTTTGGAATTTGGGAATACGTGAACCAGTGCGGAGACGCTGCTGAAACTGGACTATCGGTTCAGCAACCAATAGGGAGGGAGCCTAGTGATGTAGTAGGTTGGCGTTGGGTTGTTAACCACAAGGTCAGCAGTTTGAATCCACGAACTGCTCCAGCGCGCCCCATATCGATTTAAATTCTGCTTCCGTATAGATTTACAGACTTGAAACCCTACTTAGAGTCGCTGGCACGACTCGGTGGCAGTGGGTTTGGTTTTTGAGTTTGGTTAACTACGAGATCAATTGATTGAACCCACCAGCTTCTCTCCCTGAGAAAACTGTGAATGTCTGCTCTGTACAGATCTACCGTCTCGGAAACCATACAGGCCAGTTTTATCTAGTCCTATAAGAGGTTCTCTGGTAGTGTAGTGGTTACGAATCGGGCTGCGAACCGCAGGGTCAGCAGTTCGAAACTACCGGCTGTTCTCCGTGGGAGAAAGATGAGGCTTTCTGCTCCCGTAAAGATTTACAGCCTCGGAAACCCTGTACAGGGTCACTATGACACAGCCACCAACCACCACATAGGGTCATTGACATATTGTGTCAGGAGGACGGGTCACTGGAGAAGGATATCATGTTTGCTAAGTCAGAGGGTCAGAGACAAAGAGGAAGAGCCCCAATGAAATGGATTGGCCAAGTGGCAACATCAATGGGCTCAAGCGTGGCAACAATTGTGAGCTTGGCCCAGGACTGGGCAGTGTTTCATTCTGTTGTGCATAGGGTCACTACGATGGCACTTAACAACAACAACATAGGGTCTTGTGTGGCGCTGTGGGTTAATGCGCCAGACAACAGTTTGAACTGCAAGGTCGGCAGTTCAAGCTCACCAGCCGCTCCTCGGAAACCCTATACAGGGTCGCCTATGGGTCGGAACCAACTCGATGGCACTTAACAACAACAACAACGGGTCACTATGAGTCGTAATCAACTTGATGAAATAGAAACCAATATGGAGGCAGTTAGGCCGCCCCCGCCAGCTGCTTCTGTTGCTGTAAGTGCTGTGGAGTCGGTTCCTGTATAGGGTTTTCGAAGAACGACTGGTGAGTTTGAACCGCTGCCCTTGTGGCCCAGTATTTATCCTACAGCACTCGGAACCAACTTCACAGCACTGAATAACAACAATGGTCCCCCCGGGGCTTGGCTGACTTGGGCTCTGGGGGCTTTACCTTCCCTGAGCCTTAATTCTCTCAATTATAAATTATGCCTTCTTTCTAATTGTGAGTATAAAACGAGGTCTAGTAGTTTAAAGATTTAGCATTTAAGGATTTAGTAACAGGGCTGCAATATAAGAAGAACCTACTCAGTTTTAAACATTTTAGGCTCATTAAATGGATTCAGGAATATGTAAGGTGCATTTTATATTGTTAAGTGCCGTCAAGTCGTTTCTGACCCATAGCGACCCTGCACAGGGTTTCCAAGGAGAGGCTGGTGAATTTGAACCACCGATCTTGGGGTTCAATCGACTTGCATTAACCCGCAGCGCCACACCAGGACTGTAGCCATTAAATAAGTAATCAAAGAATGCAAGAAGGAACTAGCCCCTGCAAGTCTCCTCATAAAGAAACTGGGGCTGTCTAAAAAGGTGTAAACAAATTACAGTAAATACCAGGAAACTTCAAATAGCTCGTGGGAAAATTCCAATTTCTTTTAATTCCATATTTTTGCACGAACTTTTTTGGAAATTTTTGTGAATACCACAGGTTGGGAGTAGTACTACATTTCCCAGAAATCGCTAGGAACCTACAACCCCTGGGCTGCTGACGTCTCCCGGAAACGTGCACGTGTAGGCAGCCGGCGTATGTCATGGCGTCTAGACGTCTATTTCGGGCTACCCAGGCCTGGGCGGGTTGGCGAGCCCGGGAGCTCCTGGACCCCGCAGCACTCAGAAAGATCCTGGTCCGTGATTATGCCAAGAAACCAGGTGAGATACCGTAAGGGGGACTAAGATGGAGACGGTGGGTACACAGGGAGCTGGTAGTACGCAGGCGCATGATAGAGTGCGTACTTCTTAGGGTCACTGCGCAAGCGTAGAGAGGCAGACGCTAGACTCTAAGCGCAGGCGCAATTAGAGGGCCCTACTGCCAAAGTCCTGGTGTGGCGCTGTAGGATAAGGACTTGGCAGTTCAAACCCACCAGCCGCTCCCTGGGCCGCTATGAGTCTGAACCGACTCTAAGACACTTAACAACAGTGCCGCTTAGAGCGAAGGCGCCTATTTGAAATATGCCTTTGCGATTAGCTGCAGTGCGCAGGTGCACACTTATATGCCTATGCATTTTAGTACTGTACAACAAGGGTCGGGAAATGGGGAGCAAGTGCGTTTCACTGCGCAGGTGCGGGTTGGTAAGCTGCAGTTTTTAGAGAGCCTTGAACTTGGGTTCCAGTTTATAATTTCTGCCATCGAATCGCTCTGTGACCTTGAAATTTAAGGACAAGACTCACTTAGATATTTGCCGTTTAAGCCAAAGTTATTGAATTTTAGCGGGATACAGCTGTGCCTAAGGAGCTCTGGTAGCGTAGTGATAACGAATCAGGCTGCGAACCGCAAGGTCAGCAGTTCGAAACTACCAGCTGCTCCGCAGGAGAAAGATGATGCTTTCTGCTCCCGTAAAGATTTACAGCCTCGGAAACCCTGTACAGGGTCGCTATGGGTCGGAACCTACTCGACGGCACTTAACAAGAACAACAGCTGTGCCTCAGCTCCTCTATTGAAAGGGAGACATTGGTAAATTTTAGCTGTTACAATATATAGTATGAGCCCTGCCCTGGTGGCTCTGTGGGATAAGCATTGCACTAACCACCGTGGTTCAAACCCACCAGTCGCTCTGCGGGAGAAAGGCTGGCAGCTCCCAATGGAGACAGATATGTGTACGGAATAAAATGGCACTTAAAAAGGAAGTGACAAGTCACATGTGCCACACTATTAACTTATTTGTTGTTTATTTTTGCTCCAGTGTTGGGGGTGCGGGGACCGAGTCCAGCCAGGGCCTGAGGCTGTTCAAGGGGACAACTGACTTCCCTAGCACTGAACCCCTTCTTCCCTCACCCCCCAGTCATGATGAAGGGAGGCAAAAGCAGCAAAGGCAGTGTGGTCAGTGAGGCTCTCAAGGACCCGGATGTATGCACAGACCCTGTTCGCCTCACCACACATGCAATGGGTGTTAACATCTACAAGGAGGGCCAGGATGTGGTCCTGAAGGCAGATGCTGAGTACCCCGAATGGTGAGTGGGCCCCACATCCTCCCTGACCAGCCAGAAGGACATCATGGACACTTTCTTTGGGAGGCGATGGCGCCTGGTGGTGATGCCCACCTGTCCTGGCATATGTGTCTGGGTTGGCCCATCTGTAAAGGAGGGGGTGATGATGGTACCTCCCTCAGAGGATTGTGGGTAATTATTGAACTCAGAAATGTATAGAGCCATGCCCATTTGCCTTAAACACACATTTATTAAGTGTTGACTATGTAACAGGCTTTGTTCGCAGCACTGAGGTTACAACAGGGCCTAAAACAAGCCAGACTCCCCTGGAGAAGCAGGCAGTAAGCAAATGACCAGGCAGATCTGTGGGTGCTGCTCCTGGAAGCCAAACTGAATGGGAAAATTGAGTGATGGGAGGTGGGGGGACTTGGCTGAGGAGTTTGAGGTTTAGGGGAGAGCTTTTCTGGGATGGTCAGGTGTGAGCTGAGACCCCAGTGGATGGAAGGGGCTTTGCAGGCAGAAGACACGTCCTGTGCAGGACTGGACCCCGAGGCAGGACTGGACCTGGTGAGTTAGAGGAACATCAGGGAGACCTGAGGATCCAGCCATGCAGAGCTGGGTAGATGGAACATATGGGAGATTTTGCTTATGCCCTTTAGACTGGTAGCAGGTACTGACCCTTCAGGCTAGAGCAAGTTCTGGAAGGTTGAGCAAAGTGGGCAGGGAGGATGTTACAGGTAGCAGGGCGGAGGTCAGGAGGTTGCCCTTTGGGACAGGAAGGGTCCCACTCGATCCCTTGTCCTAGCCCTATGGGTGGCTCCACCTTGGAGTCTTGGGGGCAATGAGGGAGGGGTGGCCTGATTCCACCCCGGCTCCCGTAGGCTGTTCCAGATGAACGTGGGCCCCCCCAAGAAACTGGAGGAGCTGGACCCTGAGACTCGGGAATACTGGCGGCTGCTGCGGAAACACAACATCTGGCGCCACAACCGGCTGAGCAAGAACAGGAAGTTCTAGTGGGGAGGGCCAGAAGGACCCCCACCCCACCCCACAAACACGTACACGGAGGACGTCTTATTTTCCTGCTGAAAACAGACTTTTCCAAAGCAGGGCAGCCCCTGTGCCGGGGTCTCTGCCCTCTAGCCCAGTGAGGCTGGGTCACGGTCCTGGGGGCCAATAAAGACTTTGGGGTCCATGTGGCCAGGACAGAGTACCACCAGGTGTTTTCTGATCTTGGGCTGAAAGGGAGGGGGCATCACACGCCCAAGGTTCCTGCCCCTGACCTCCTTCCCAATAATGGGCTGGACTCCATGCCCAGTGTGGAGGGGCAGATCCAAGACACCCCCACCCCTGTTGGCACTGCCTCCCTATTAGGTGGGTGCAGCCCACCCCTGCATATCTCTGCCCTGGGTCTGCAGCTGGAATTTCTAGCTTACTTCCGCCCCATCTCAGGAGCCCTCAGCCAGTTAGGGCATTGGCCATGGAGGAGGGGAGGTCATGAGCACCAGCTGACCCAGCAGGTGCAGGACGTGAACAAGCATCACTCCACCAGGCTGCAGACGGGAGTCCCCGTGCTCAAAACCAACTCTTCAGAGCTCCACGAGGCCCTGCGCTGTCCCCTCCAGGCCTTCCCCTCCTCAGACTTGCCAGGCAGCATCCTGCCTCAGGGCCTTTGCACAGGCTGTTCCTCTGCCTGGTATGCTCCTCCCTCACCAGCCAGTCTCTCCTTGAATGCCACCTCCTCCGCGAGGCCTCGGCTGACCACCTAGTAATTGCAGTCCCTACTGCAAACTCCTCACCCTGCCACCTTGATTTCCTCCCAGCACTTAGCACCCAAGCTTACGTTTTGTTGGTCGTGGCGTTAAGTTCCGACTCATAGTGACCCTATACAGGGTTTCCAGGGCGTGACCGGTGGGTTTGAACTACTACCCTTGTGGTTACAGCACCCCACCAGGACCCTATGTCTTCTTGGTAGGTGCCATCAAGTCAGCTCCAACTCACAGCAACCGTGTGTACAACAGAACGAACCACTGCCCAGTCCTGCGCCAACCTCACAATTGTGTTTGAGCCCATTGCTGCTGCCACGTGCCATTCCATCTCGTTTGGGGCTTTCCGCGTTTTCCAGGACCCTCCACTTGACCAAGCATAATGTCCCTTCTCAGCACAGTGTTACTGTGTTTGCCTTTCCTGCAGAATGTCAGCTCCATGAGGGGAGGAATTTACTGTCTTGTCCACCGTGATAGCTCAGTGCCGGGCCACAGTGCACACTCAAGAATATACTGAATGGGTGGAGGGTGGATGGAGGTGGACAGGTAGGTGAATGGATGCAGGGATGAAAGAGGAATGGATGGGTTTGCCTCACCTTTCTAGGGGTACCATTCAGAGAAAGTGTCCTCTGCAGCTGGACAGCTGTGTGTGTCTGGGGGTGGGGCGTGGACACAGGTTTGAGAGCAAACAGGATGTGGGGCCTGAGGAGGTGATCTGGGAAGGATGTTCCCCCACTCCTGACCCAGGCTGTCCCTGCCCATGGGGGGTGCTCTCTGTGTCTGCACTGGGGCAGCCCAGGCATGAGTCACCCCTTCCCTTCCACCCACCAGCCGCCTTGTCCTGGAGCCACACCCCACGCTGCAGGGGCGGCCACAGACCCAGCTGGGGCCTTGTTACCGAGACCCAGCACCTCTCTCACAGGACTGGGAGACATCTGGGGGTCCAGGACCACTGGGGTCAGCAATCCCTTGATATGGGGGGTGCGTAGACGGAGTGAGGGTCCTACTAGTGTCCATGTCCAGGTGCTCAGCTTCCCACACCAGCCTGGACCGCCTTGGCGCCTCAAGACCCACAGCCAAGCAAGGTGTTGGAAAAAGAGTCTCCCACCTCACCCAATTATATGTGCTCAGGAAACAGGCCCTCTGTCTCTGGGCATGTTTACTTCTCTGTAAGAGGGGGCTAGTGGCCCTGCCCACCAACCAGGGCTGTCAAGGGGGGCACAATGATTAGCAGGCACCAGCATACCATGAGTATGCCGGCTGTAAGCTGCACAACAGGGCTCTGTGAGAGGCCAGGTAGATCTGCTGGGGAGAGGGGAACAGGAACAGGCCAAGAGATTGGGAACCATCAGCTTCCAGAATCTCAGAATCTAACCCATCCATGCCCCTTTCATAGGGGGGGGAGACCATGGCCAATTGCTTCCATGAACAAACACCTTTGTCAAGAGACCAGAAGAACTAGATGGTGTCCAGCTGTCATTACTGAACACTTGGATCAAAGATTCTATAGAAGAATCCGGGTTAAAGGAGGGGCGGAGTACCAAACAGAACATCAAGGTTTCATGGAAGCCAGACTTTCTGGAGCTATGGAGTCTAGATGAACCCTAGAACTACTACCCTGAAATAATCTTTAAATCTCCAACAAAAATATCCCTGAAGTTGTAACAAGTCGAGAATGTCTCCCTTGAGCAGTGCGATATTTAAGATCGCTCTCTCTGGAATCAAATCGACAACAGTGACTCCAAAGTTTAGAGAGGCAACTGGGGGCAGTGAGTTTATATTCATGGGGGAGGAACAACTCGGAAGAGGCTGTCGAGAACGGCCGCACAATTTGAAGAGTGTCGTTAAGTGCCACTGAATTGTACTTGGAGAAATTGTTCATGGTGTGGATTCTCCAATTGGTGTCGAAATTGTTCCGTCATGTAGATTCTCAACAATAATAAAAAGGGTGGAGTCCTTTGAGGCCAGGGCCCCTCCTCCTACTGGAATCCTCTGACCTCCTCTTTTCCCAAACTGGGTGTCAGTGTCTCCAAAAGGCAGGGTGAGGAGGCAGTGGTGTGGGGGCCTGGATGGGCAGGGGCCCCCAGCAGCCTGTGCTTTGAGTCTTGCTCCCCTGTGACCCGACAGCTGAACTGCCCCATGACCTTGGACATGGTCACGGAGTCCCAGGCTCCGGGGGACAGGGAAGATCAGGCAGGCACCAGGCTGAGGCCGGGTCCCAGGTCCTCTCCAGGGCCTGTGCGTTCTCCTTGGCCAGCAGCCGCAGGGACACCTCCTCCAGGGTAAAGCCCTCAGCGAAGACGGGACCAAAGACGTGTGACCCAAAGGGTACCTGCATGCTGGAGCCTGGGCCCAGGAGCCGAGGGAGGCCGGGCACTGCTGGGGGCACCGGGTCCAGCCAGGCCTCCAGGGGTAGCGGCCTGGCCGGAGGACGGATGAAGGGCAGTACTGGGGCCTCAGGGAGCCGCAGCGCTGCCATAGCTCTGGAGCCTGACTCCAAGCGCTCCTGACGGCGCCATTTGGCCCTGCGGTTCTGGAACCACACCTGAGGGGCAGGAAGAGGTGCTAAGGGCTCCCTTCCCTGCCCCAGCCCCCACCCCACTGCCTCAAGGTTCTGCCTGTTGTCCAACCTGACTCCCGCCTGCTGCAATATCAACGTACTCTGTTTGGACCCCGGGCTGTCTCACCGGAATCAAATCAGCTCCCAAATCTTTTTCCCAAATCTAGTCTCCTTACCTTTCTCTGTCCTGAGCCTCCCAATCTCCTCAGCAGGGAGTCTGAGCTGCTGAACTCAGCACTGGAGACCCTTGAAACTCTGCCTCCCCTCCCACCCAGGTCAACTTGATGCTTCCTCCTTCCCTTCTGGCTAACTCCTACTCTAACATCAAAGCCTCAATGCTCTTATTCCCTCCTCCAGGAAGCCCTCCGGGTTTCTCCTGCTTCTGTCCTGGAAGGAACCCCTCACCTGCACTCGCACCTCAGGCAGGTGCACCTTGGCAGCCAGCTCCTCACGGCTGTACACGTCCGGGTAGTGCGAGGCCTCGAATGCCCGCTCCAGCTGGTGTAGCTGGTATGTGGTGAAAGCCGTGCGGTTCCTCCGGCGCTTCTTGGGGGCTTCCTCACCAGACCCTGGCCCACTGCCCTCGGCTGAAGGTCCCTCGCTTGGGCTCAGGAACATGGCTTCTCCTCGCCCTCACCTGGCAGGATGGTAGCAGGTCCACTGGTGGTAGGATAGCTGGTGGGACTGTCTGTTCTCGGTGGTATGAGGAGGGAGAGGGACCTGACCTGCCTGCTTCTGGGAAAGTCTCCTTCCACTTTGTCTTGCTGCTTCTCCCTGGCCGCCACCCCATATCTCTCCCTCTTGGGTTCTCTCACTGCACCCTTCTCCATTTCTCTAGTTATTTCTGTCTCTCTTCAGCTTTCTCTCTGTCTCATTGACCCCCAGGAAGGCAGTGTGCTACCCCCATAGGATGCCTCCACATCCCACCCCCACTCCTGACTGTGCTCTCTGCCCAGCTCACCACATGCACGATCCACTAGCAGGCCCAGCTCCTGTCTGCTTCCAGCCTGGCCCTTCCAGACCCCAGCGGGGAGAAGGATTAACTTGAAGTGATTAATTGAAGCGGCCCCTCCTGCCGGGACCTGGTGGCTTCTGAGCTGCAGAGGGAAAGCCGGGCAAGGTGGTGGAGGGCTGGGGCTCAGATGGTGGCCCGGGACTGTTGGCCTGGCTCAGCCAGCATGAGCCTCCCCACTGGGCCTCAGTTTCCCTGGCTGTAAAATGGCGACATGAGCACCTACCTCGTGGGAGCATCATGGAGCAGCCCCATAAGCTGACCTAAGTCAAGTGCTTTGCTCACTGGCAAATAGAAAGCGCCTAATAAATGCTCATTGTTCTCACCACCTGGGGCCAAGCACAGGTCCTCCTAGACCCCAGCAGTCCAAGGGCGTGGGGAAACCCAGGTCCTGAGAGAAGAAGGCACTTCTAGTTGAAGTCCCCAAGTTGCTGACCAGAGCAAGGGCTGGGGAGCATTCTATCTGGCTTTGGACGTATGAATAAAAAGTTCACCATTCATTCATCCATCAATCTAACAATCACTGAGTGTTTTCTGCGTACTGGGTTCTTACTGTACATGGTCATGAACAAAACACAAAAATCCCTGCCTGACATTCCAGCGAGGAAGGTGGGACAACCAGCAGCTGAATACTGAGTATGAAAACGGTCCAGCATCCGGGGACTATATGCCTTGTGAGAAAACACAAGCTGGAAGGAAGAAGGAGTGTGTGCTGCGTGGGCACTTTAAGAAAGGAAGTCAGAATGGGAGGTGAACTGCAAAGATGCAAATTCCCGACATTGCTGGGTGTGGAGGAGAGAGAACTGGGGAGCTATGGGAGACTGTGGAGCTGGGGAGGGTAACATGGGAAGCCAGGAGGAGGCAGCTGGAAGATGAGTGTAAGGTGAGAAAGTCTGGAGACCAGGGCAGACATGGTGGGGCTGTAGGGCTTGGGGGTAAAGGGGGTAACCAGTCTCTTTGGAGGACAGGTGAGTGATGGGATGTCTCTGCTTACCCTGCTAGGTTTGAGGAGGCTGGGCATGTCAGGGGACCTGAAGGCTGGGAACTTGGGTGTGGGCAGGCCCTGGAAAGGGATAACAGGGTGTTTCAGGGGGTCTGGGACGGCAGGGCCAGGTGAGGCCTGGGAAATGGCTGCAAGATGCAGGCATGCTGAAGATGGGAGGGAGGCTGGGGACCCAGAACAGGAAGTAGAGACAGATCCTTCCGGAATTTTGACTTTGAAGGGTGAGAGAAGCAAAGAAACACAGAGAAACTAGATCACGCAGAGAAAAGGGGGTCCCTGGGAGGTGCAAGTGGTTAACAGGGCTCGGCTGCAACCAGGAAGTTGGAAGTCTGAGTCCACCCAGAGATGAGTTGGAAAGGGCTGGCAATCTACTTTAGGAAACTCAACCACTGAGAACCCTGTGGAGCCCAGTTGTACTTTTAACAGGAGGTGACCGGTGGCTATTGTCTGAGGGGGAAGCTAGGCTGGAAGATCCCAATTCCTGAGCTCAGGCTAAGTCCCAGCTGGAGCTCTAAGGGGCTGTGTGTGGCCAGTGCCCCTCCTGGCCTCAGCCGCCCCATCTGTAAGATGGGCTAACAGGGCTCTGTGGCCAGGTCTCGGGGAAGCCAGCTGGGCATACAGGGTGGATGGGGAGGGGATAATTCCCCTAATTACTTCATGACTTTAACACACGAACAAGCCGCTTGCTCCCATGCTCAAGCTCCAATTAGCTAATTGGACCTTGAGGGTTATGAGACCGCAGGGATTGGGGTCTGGGGAGCTTTGGGCAATTTAGCAGATGCTGCATCAGCTTAGAGGGTGGATTAAGGGTGCTGATGGTGCAAGGCCAAGGTGACAGGTGGTCCCTGCCAGCTGGATTAGGCAAGGTCAAGCCAATCACAGCCCCTTCAGTCTTCCCACAAAAAGAATCATTCAACCCTCTCAGGTGCTGGCAGGGAAACTGAGGCCAGAGGGTGAAGCTAGAAGTCAGTGTGAATTTAGCATGACATTTCTGTGACTCGGACTCAGCAAGGGGGCTGTGGCCTGGTGCCCCCAGCTCAGGGAGTCCTGGGAGTGGGATCACATCCAAATTCAGGGTCACTCTCCAGGACTCTCCTAAACCATGGCTGTTAGAGAAAGCTAGATGATGAGGTTACTGCTGGTAACTACCCTGGAGGCGGCCCAACTCCACGCACAGTGGGATGAAACGGTGCCCGGCCATGCTTCATCTCCACGATCAGCAGCACATTGGACCCCTGTGATTCATAGGTTTTCATGGGTTGATTTTGAAAGTTGATTGCCAGACCTTTCTTCCTAATCTTAGTCTGGAAGCTCTGTTAAAACCTGTTCAGCATCCTAGCAACTCTAGCCTCCACTGACAGACCAGTGAGGGTTGTGCATGAGGCGAACTGACTGGGAATTGAACTTGGCTCTCAAATCTGTGTAGATTTAAGCCGGGGGGGGGGAAGCCCAAGTCCCCCAAATAAGAGTGGCCCACAGAGTGGGGCCTAAAGGCAGGCCACTTAGCCAGTGTTTGTGTCTCCTGGGGCCACTGGACATTCGGTTGTCCTTTATTCATAGGTAGGGTCACCTGTGAGCTCTGTCATTGTGAAAGGTGTGCGGTGTTACAATGACCAGAATGGGGTTGGCACACAGCAGGTAAGGGTTTGTTAGTGAATGGGTGTGGGGATGGTGGATGGATGGATGGTGGGTAGATGGATGGGTGGATGGTGGATGGATGGATGGGTAGATGAATGGTGGATGGATGGATGGTGGGTAGATGGATGGTGGGTAGATGGATGGTAGATGAATGGTGGATGGATGGATGGATGGATGGATGGTGAATGGATGGATGGGTGGGTAGATGAATAGTAGGTGGATGGATGGTGGATGGATGGATGGATGTGGGTAGATGAATAGTGGATGGATGGATGGTGGGTGGATGGATGGTGGATGCATGGTGGATGAATGGTGGATGGATGGATGGACGGTGGATGGATGGTGAGTAGATGGATGGTGGATAGATGGATGGACGGTGGATGAATGGTGGATGGATGGATGGATGATGGGTGGATGGATGGTGGATGGATGGATGATGAGTAGATGGATGGTTTGTGGATGGATGAATGGTGAATGGATGGATGGATGGTGGATGGATGGTCGGGTGAATGGACAGACAGTGAATGCTGAACAGTTGGGTGGATGGTGGTTGCACGGTAAGGTGGATGAATGGAGAGGTATATGGGTGAGTGGATCTAAGCATGTGGTCCTTTGGGTGGCCAGCTGTGACCCCTCAGGGTGATAGGGCTTCAGAAATCAGAAAGACACAGACACCCACTGTCCTTGAAACCGGTGTCTTTATGGAGACATGACTCTCCCCTCCTGCTGTGTGTCTGTGGTGTCCACGGGCTGCCGGAGTCCCTGCACGTCTGCCCTGGAGCCGGGAGGGCAGTTGGGGGGCCAACGTTCCTTGGGCCTGGCCTGCGCCCTCCTGTGCCTTCTACTCTCTTGGTCCTCTGAGACACAAGGCCCCACCGGTGGGGTCAAGGCTCCTGGGCACGGGGTGATGTGGAGCCATCAGCCTCCTGTCCCCCAACGGAGGCTGGGGTGCCGGCGCTGCGCAGCTCCCGGGCCAACTTCTCAGCCAGTTTGCGGAAGGGCGGCCTGCGGGCTGGCTCGGCCTCCCAGCAGCTGCCCATTAGAGCATGGACAGGGCCGGGGCAGTCATCTGGGGGTTCCATGCGGTAGCCTTTCTCCACAGCCTCTGATACCTCCTTCAGGGACTGTGGACAGAGGGCACGCAAGTGTTGGCAGGGGCACCAGGGCCACAGCCCCAGACCCACTAGGGGTCCATCAGCTGCCACTCCGGCCTTGCTCACCATTTTGGGGTATGGAGCCCGGCCATATGAGAAGACTTCCCACAGCAGAACCCCGAAACTCCAGACATCGGACTTGCTGGAGAACTTCTGTAGAGCAGACAAAGAGGCACACAGGGGCTCACCTCCCTGGGTTAATCCTCCCTCTCAGCTCTCCCCGCAGAGACTCCTCTCCTGAGGTGACCACAATCCAGTGGAACTCAGACCAAGAGTCCCCATGGCCATTTCAGAGATGGAAAAATTACGAAACTAAGGCTCAAACAGGATGGAAGGGGCCATTAGGAGCTAAGTGCTCATGGAGGGCAGGGACTCTCCAGATTCCCACATCTCCTGGGGGTTTAGAGAGGTCAGAGGAGGCCCCCAGGGTCACTTAAGCTGAGTAGAGCCTGCTCGCCCACCCCCAGATCCCCAGGGAGGAGGGGGGCTCACCCCGTGCTTCAGAGCCTCGGGCGCTGTCCACTTAACAGGCAGCCGGCTCGAGTCCAGCCCCTTTCGCTCGGCTTTAGCTAGGCCAAAGTCGCTGACCTTGGCCACCAGGTCTTCGGACACCAGGATGTTTCGTGCGGCCAGGTCGCGGTGCACTAGTTTCTTGCTCTCTAGGTACTCCATGCCCTCAGCCACGTGCCTGGGCGGCAGGACGGCGAGTGGAGCTCGGGGGTCACCCATGCCCAAGTTCTGGCTCAGGTGCCTTAGTTTCCCTCCCATCCCCTTCCGAAAGCCCCACTCACAGCGAAAACTGCAGGAGCTG